GAAATGACTGTCGCTGCTCGAGAGAGGTGAGGGTGGAAGCCTTAATGCAGGAGCAGCTGGAAGCCTTGCTCCTGCACGCACGTGTGTAGCATGAAAATCCAGGTGGCTGCCCCCGGCTCTGTGTGTGTGTGTGCTCATGTGTGTGCATGTTCGTAGGACCGACTGTGAGCCCCTGCCCTCTGGTAGGTTTTCGCACAGTAGCAGTGTGCTGCAGTGCAGTTTGGTTAAATGATTATTTGTTGCTTCTCCTGTTGACTCTTCCACTTCCTGACCTCCTCCGACTCTTCCAATTCCTCAGAGACCACACTGATTTTGACAGCTGGGATTACTCAAGCTATCCGAGATAAACATCCTTTTGAAAGGGAAGGCAACTAGGAATGAAAATGGAGTAGCATCTGAACTGAAGGGAGAAACAAAATTATGCTTTAAACTAATTATCATTAGTAGTACTTTTTGTATGTAGAAGGACCAGATGTTAATGGGTGAAAGCAATGGAAAAACTGTTGTGGAGAGGGAGAGAGAAATTGATGACAGCAGGGCTACATTTTTGTGACCCATTGTTTTATGCTTAGTGGCTGGTGGGATGCTGTGAAGCTCTATTAATACAGGGTTTTTTTCTGTCACTGGTGCAGGTTCTTCAATGCACATGGATCAGCCTTGCTGCCAAGCTCTCTATGACTTTGAGCCAGAAAACGAAGGCGAGCTTGGGTTTAAGGAAGGGGACATCATAACTTTGACCAATCAGATTGATGAGAATTGGTATGAGGGGATGTTAAATGGAGAGTCTGGCTTCTTCCCTATTAATTATGTTGAAGTGATGGTTCCCTTGCCTCAGTGATTGTGTCATTCAAGCTGTGAACGTGATTTCATGACTGAAATGGATTCACAAATGTTCTGTCAGTGTGGCATTCTGTGAAAGCCTTGCTATTTGACTGACTTACTGACTTTTGTATGCGTCTTTTTAAAATGTATTTATTTTATATTCAAAAAAATTTTACCTTACCTGACTGCATCAACCTGCAAAAAAACCCATACCTAGTTTTTTTGCTTTGTGCCTTGAAGATCACTGTATGAAGTGTTTACTGGTAGCTCACTGTTGCTCCAGAAATGCATTTCCTTGCTATTATAGTACGTGGATTTTTTTTTTTCTTTGGCTGCAATGATTTTACTATTGAAAACCATCTTTAAAAATACTGTAAGGTAAGCTAACTGTAACCAGTTCCTAAGTTACTGATGTCATTGAGCTCTTTTCATCTATCACACTGTAATTTATTGTGAGCAAGTTAATCTATGTTTCACATTGTATGTTGACAAAAGGCAAAGTGGTTGTTGTCAATATTATCATAATGTTGTACTAAGTACAAGTTCTCAGCATCAAAAATTCCTATAATTTACTGACCAAACTGAATAAATATTTCTGTGGGATAAGAACAGTGTTTGCTGCTTCTGTTCCTGTAGTTCTGGCATTTGTTTTTGAGCTGGATGTCAATTTTGCTAAATATATCAGCTTTCAGTGAATAAAACAATGCTGTGTTAAAAATGTATGAATAAAGCCAAAGTATTAGTTTTATAACACCTCAGCCACTGGAATTTTAATAATCTTGCTCTCTCCCTACTGATTGGGTAGCATTTATAACATCTGTTAAAATTTTCTTCTAGCAGGAGGATAAGAGAGAAATTCCTTTGAACTAAGTACAAACTGATCCTAACTCCACAGGGTTTGTATAGAACTCCGCTGAGATCAATAGGTGAGTATCCCAGTGACTACTGCAAACAAAGGAAAATTCAGTAGACTTCTGTTTTTATTTATTTGAAAGAGATGGAGAAAGAGAGGACTTACATGGAGAGGGAAAGACAACTAAAAATATGGGGAGAACAGCCTCAAAATGAAAGACTCAAGCATCTTAAGTACTTATGAAAAATGAGCATAGAATTAATTTGGTTTTTGTTAGCATTCTGCTCTGCTTAGTAAATGGAGATGTAGTAATGACCAAAAACTTCAGCGGCCCCAGAGGAACATGTAATCTTTTACCAATTGCTCTCAGTACAAGATGGAGTGATGAGAAGGGAGCTGAACTCTTTATGGGCAAACTGGCTTGAAAGGAGTTTCGGAGTTTCAAGCTCTACTTGGTTCTGTAATCCAGTTGAAACAGCATTCCCTAGAGAGAGAAGAATTTTACATCTGCCACAGGTGCAGTAACATTTCTGTCCAAGAAGCATAAATATCAAAAGCATGGCTTCCTGGTTGCTCTCATCTCTGGCCTTGGCTTGCACAATGACTGCAAGAGAAACAGAGGGTTGTTCTTCATGGTTTTGGCTACAGCCTGCTACTTAGGGCACATAATCTCAGAATTTGGACTTGCTTATGTAAAGAAGAAAATTCATCAGCCCTTTTCCAAATTCATAAGCACGTAAAGTACCTACTAATTATTAGAGCAGCAATATAGAAAGCAACTTGTTCTCACCAAGTTTTTTGAAGGAAAGTAGCTATGATGTTCTGAATACAAAACTTATGGGACAACTTTCAAAGGTTTAAGTACTTGGAATTCACAGCTGCTTTTGCTTTCACCCCCTTTATCAGAAAGGTCTCACCAGTCATACCTTTCCATAGCAGGAAAGGAAAGAGCTAGTGAAAGCGCTCTCTTACCTCACCAGAATTCCCTAGAGGGAAAGAATTAAATATGCATGCATGTCTGCACACACACACACATACATATGAAAGGTTTGAATTCTCAATACACTTCACAGTAGGCAGCTTGCCTTTTAGTATAGAGCGTGTGGTCAACTGCAATGGATGTCTGATCTAATAGAAGCAGCTAGTGCAAAAATATTAAGCTAGAAGCAAGTCAAGAGCACTAGACTGGTATTGGTTAGGATAAAGGACAGAGAGAGGGTCACAGGTAACCAACCATCTTTAATGTTTGCTATCAGGTAAAACAATTTGCACAATAGGCTCCCTTGTACATCAGAATTGGTTCTTTAATATGTCTTTAAGATTGTACACTAAGAACAAGTTTGATAAACTGGCTAGTAGGTTGTGTAGTTAAATAAGTAAGTAGATCTTGTTTCCTAGACTGTTGATGGCATTGCCAAACATCATCCTGTACCACTGCTTGTTCCTATCAAGACTGACACACTAGTTCAGATCTTTCATGGTTGTTATTTAATACCATCCTTCCCTTGTGCTATGAAAAGGTTTCATTTGAAATACTGAAGATTCCTCTTAAATCAAGTTCATAGTTCTTCAAATAAGGCTGAGCTGCTGAGTGATAAATATAAACAGGGCAGCATGGTGGTTTTTTGAAGCTTTCTTCATTCTGCAGTTTTATTGTTTCAGGGTCTTTTAAGCCACTCAAATAAGCTTAGTGAACAAAGAACTTTATTAATAAACTTTCAAATAGTAAAGTACACGTGCATGAAAAATCTTGAGTAGTAAAAAGTTAAAGAAATCAAAATAAATAGAGCAAGGTTATAGCAGCAGCTATTTCTGTGTGGGCCATAAAGTACAACAAGAATTCAGATCTGCTGAAATATGCAAGCATTAAGCCAGCATCTACTCTTGTTGTCTCAAACTAGACTTTTTGAATAACTTGAGTTTAAACTAGGATAAGGAAAGCCTCACCTTAACAACTGCATCTTAACACAGAACTGGTCTTAAATTCAGAACTGGATACTTTGGCAAGTTAAGAGGCAGTCAAAAAACTATTCCAGCATTTAGAGAAATTCAGTCTCAGCTGCTCCTCTCCCTCCAGCTACACCCCTCATGCTCCTGAAGAGAAGTGTAATTCCATGTGGCTCAAAGCCCTTTCTTTATCACAGAACTAAAATGCTTACCTACTGGCTAAGAGGCTGAGAATAACTGACTGCAGTGGCCCCAGAGGCTGACTGCCTGGTTTCTGAGCGTTACAGGTCAGGCGTTCCATGGACTACAGAGCTATTGAAGTTACAGTAAATTACATACTGGCCAATAGACAGTATTCCCCCAACTGTCCTATTAGACACACACAAAACAGTACTGCAGACTGCACAGATATTTAGGACATAAGGACTCTAAGAACAGATATTTTTGATGCACCATTTACTACAGTTGGTGCTTTCTAGTTTTGATTTTTGTTTCAGCATTTTTTTTTCTAGCCCCTTGGAAAGCTGGCTCATTGGGACTGTTCAAACAGAGTGTCAATATTGCTAATTACAGTACCTTCTCTGTTGGAATGAGATGCTTTTTCACATTTACAGGATACATCTGTCCAAGTTAAGTTTGACACAGCTATGCTGTAATATACTGTTATCTAGGAATATACAATACTGAAAACCTGGTAGATTTCCAGGTGCTAGAATACAGAAACATTTAATAACAGACAAGAATATTTTTTACAACTTGCTTTTAGTTTTAAAGTGTTTCATTCCAGGAAGTTCTCTAGCAAGTGTTCTAGACCAGTTTCTTATGTTTCAAGCATCATGATCTGAGTAGGAAACATTTTAGACACTCAGTATTCATCAGGATACCATTTTACTTCAGTCAAGTTCAGCCTTGCTCAAGGTGCAAGCAAGGGTGTGATCTGGCCCATGTAGTTCCCCACTCAGGCTTGGAACAAAAATTACCTTTGGAGAAACACCCTATCAGAATTATTGATAAAGCTGAGGCAGCCTCATGCTTATTGTCAAGTATTTAGCCATCTATCTAGGGCATATGTTTAGAAGTTTCATAAACTCTGTACCCTTCTCTGTTTCAGCAGATCATGGAAACCAGATCCTTTTGTTAAAGTAAAAATAACTTCACATGAAGCTTGTGTACTGCTGCTCTTTGTATCAGTGATACAGGACAGGGTCCAGTATCAGAAGGTAGGAAATCTCATCGTGTTGTAGACAGTGTTTCTTACAAAGAGGTCAGATGGGAGATGTGAATTCCAAGTTTCACCTATTACAGAAGATACTAAAACACACGCAGTCTGTCACCTGGGATTGAGAAGTGTTTTTAGACGATCATCTCTTTGTCAAGATTACATGATGGAACAGCTACGATCCTCACTTTGCTGCAGAAATAAAACATGAAGACATTAAGTGAATTAGTATTTATTGCTGGTTACCTACTCGATCCTCATATAGCAATGTGGGGTGGTTTTTTTTAGTGTTTTGTAGACTTAATTACTTATTAGTAAACCAAAGCAGATTTTCAAAAGAGGCAGTACTTTAACTATCCTGAGATGGTTTTAGGGTGGGAGGAAGAAACAAGCTTTTAAGAATTTGAGTCAATGCAATACATGAGCCTGTGCCTTCCTTAATGAAACACTACCATTTATCTATCAGTACCTCAGTTCTGAAGCATCAAAACTTAACTGGCATGCAGATTCATGCACCCCTAGTTAGGATAGTAAGTAAAAGCAGAAGCAAAAACCATGGAAACCCTGCCTTTCTTTTAAGCACAGCATGCTTTCTTTGCATCATTTTACTGCATGAAGAAATTACATTTTTTTACTAAAGCTGCCATTGCTTCAGTACTACCAATACAGCAGAAGCATATAGGTACTAAATGAGAAAAGTTTGATAAGGAATTCAGCAGACAGGAATGACATTAGTATTTGATTGGGAGCATGAGAGTTGATTCTTACCATAAGTGGCACACAACTACATTGTAAAGTTGCTGATAAACAGATCAGAGGTGTAAGGAAAAGAGTTACTTTTGCTTCCATCATTGATTGCTAAACAAGCCGTATTATTAGTCAATTCAAATAGAGAACTTCTTTAAAAAAAAAATAAAAAAAAATTGGAGAGTCCCTACTCTGAATATGAAGAGAAGCTTGTATCAGTAAGACTCTTTATAAGAGCTTCCACTGGTGTTACTTCAACCATTCTGGTGTATGCTATGCATTAAGAGCTCAAAGGCCAGAGTAGCATTATAGAACCTTTCTCAATAGCCTTTTTAACAAGGTCTCACCCTCCTTCAGTGAGAGACTGAAAATATTACAAGAATGTGCATATAAATCAGGAGACTTTGATAAACATTCTTTAAGCCAGATGGTATTATAATAGATATTTACCTAGATTTTCTGTTTGAAAAAAGGACGAGGAAAGAACCAAGCAGTAGCTTCCTGTTCTAAAGTAGATTATCTTCAGAGAGACAGTACACCAAGGTACTTCTAAGTTTTTAGACAGGTGTATCATGAAAATATCTAGGGAATGGTGGTGGCTTTACAACCTGGTGCAGTAACATGCAAGTTCTCCTTGTAACTGTAGGATCAGTTTCAGCAAGAGTTCAACACACTGTGTCAGCAGGAGGGAGAGAATTAATTTTTAGCTGGGCATCCCCTTGCACTCTGGACTTTGGCATTTGTACTAGCAAAAGAGAATCAGTGCTATTTCAAGTCAAAAAACAAACCAACAAGAGTCAAGTACAGTCTGTAATTGTTCAGTTATGACCAATTTAAAGCCCTTCTATTACTTCTGTTTTAGACTGCTTCAGCAATTAAAGATACCTGACTACTAGGCTATCAAAGTACACCAGGAACATCCAATATACAGAAGTTCAAGACTTGTAGAATGGTCAGTCAAAAGCCATTTGGAGGAGCTAGAGTGTCTTTCAAAGGGCATTACCACATGCAAGTTGTAGCCAAAGGGTTATAAGTATTGAAGGCAAAACATGCTTATTCTGTTTGAGTATGTTAATTCCCTTAGCATGACCTGCATCTGTGCTGAAGTTCCACCTGGAAGGTATTGAGTGTTTATGACTGAAGCAAGACTGAGATTCTTATTTTATATAGCAAAGTAATAAGTAGTAGTTCCTGGAAGTGAGCTGGAACAGAAATGCCTCAAACTCATGCTTGAATTTAGGAGGGGCTTAGGCAGTCAATACACTAAGAACTTTGATTTCAGCCTTTTAATACTTTTGAATGGAAATATTAACTTAAATTCACACTGAAGAAACCTGTCTTAAGTGCAAGTCAGGGACACTGTTTAGAGTGTCAGATAAACCACTCCATCCCACAGAAATAGTATTTCTAGTCAGTGTTTGCATTCTGGTTTTGGAGTAACAGCTTTTAAGTTTTTTCATAGTTATATGCTTAGGAGGAAGACACATTAAAGCTAGTATTTTTCAGCATGTCAGTAATAAGAGACCAAACAATTAATGCTACTATTTGATCATAATCAACCAGATAAGCAAAACATCAATTCCACTTCTGATGCAAAGCCATGCAAGCTACATTCTCTGTGTACTGCAGCACTTTTAATGAAGCAAGTTTTCTTGAGATGACAAGCATGATTCTCACCATCTCACCTGCTTAAGGATGCTCACAGGAGCCACTATCATGAAACCAAACAACATTTCTTTTTTCTTCTTCTTTTGGTCTGACATCAAGAAAAATGTGAAGAGTTGTAGGATATAGATAGTACTTGGGCAAGTAATGAAAATAAATGGCCATTGAATGATTCTTATGATAGCATGTATTTAAGCTTCAGGCAGCTTACCTGAGGTGGAAAGTCTGTTTCACTTCCAGTTACTTCTTCATACTCATCATTTTGCTCACCACTTTCTTCTTCTCTGGGTATATGCATTATCTTCCTCTCTGCAAGTTCCTAGAATGCAATTGAATTGCCACCACGAACCCTCAAGAATTAAGCACATTGAGCAAGTTTAGTAAACAAGTATTAAGCCAGTAGAAGCTATCGCACTCACCTCACCATCAGCTGAGATGAGTGTAACATCAACATTACACCCAGATCCCCAAGACCTCTGAGACCTCCAGATCAGATCACCAGGACCTGAACTTACACCAGCAGCTGCACCCCAGATCTGCAACAGATTTAGAGTGAGCTTCTGAAGAATCTTGTTTATAGTTAGATTAGGATTCAGTCGAACATATGCAACTCTTAAGTACTCCAATATCAAATATGCCCAGTAACAGAAACTGAACTACTGTGATATCTAGCAGATTAGTTCTTTTCAGAACTACCAAGAATGGTGGTAATGTTTTTCTAACCAAAGACTGTAAAACAGTTAGTGCAGAAAAGCCTATTAACAGCTGATGTAGAGGTAGCCTTGCTTGGATATGCATACTATTTGAGTCACAGAGCCAAGCTGTAATTACAGACTTACCCACGGCAGCAATTAGTGTAGTCAAGATAGCCTCTAGCCTGGGGTCACTCAGATCTCTTGAGAGATTTCTCTCATACAGAGTTTGGAGTGAAGAGTGTAGAATTAGGCTTTGATCACCATCTAAATGTACTTAAAGTATGATTTTAGAGCTAATATTTAGCTTAGTACCATAAATCACAAGCTCAGCATTGCTGAACTGTAGTGGACTAAAGCTTTTAGCAACAGTGAAAGTCTTTGCACAACTTGTACCAAATCACAGGAGTATGGAGAACCCTAAGAATAAACTAGAATATATTGATTCTGTTTATAACAACAGCACATCCCAATCTGGGACGATTCGAATTCAACCCAAGTTCTAGCTTTAAAGAAAACTTAATTGGCATTTCAGATCAAGTTCCTTCAAGGATTTTTCCCCATCTCCCTCTCCACATAAAACAAGAATTCTAGTTCTTTAGGCACTTGCAGTATTAATTTAGTTTTCCTTATTACATGAATCTCTGTTGCTGTCTAACATAATAGGCACGCAGCTCTGAGTAAGTTTTACAAAACTGATACCTACTGTAACTACTTGGCCTGCTTGAAGAGTGAACCGTGGAGGAAATTCATATGTTACATCTGACACACTTCCAAGATGTCGTCTTAGCACCCATCCATGTAATGGTTGATCCTGTGGGACAAGGAATTTCTCTCGGCATTACAGACTAACACCATATCATACAAGCACAAGGTTCTTTCCAGATTCAAGGGTCAGTTTTAATCCCATTCCTGTAACTACAAGAATCTGATCAATTTTGATGAAGCCTTCAGGTTTCCATTAAAGCCTCCCTATGATTTGTCCTGGTACCTCCTTAGGATTAATCTTAGTCTCACAAGTTTAGGCACCTCTATTCTTGCCTTCTATTGAAGGAGGATCATGATGCTCTTTACCAGAGAGATTCTTATAAATGAACTCAGACCATATATATATATACACACATATATACATAGTGGACTGTGAAGGCTTAAGGCATCTCAGGCTGAAGAGGCTAAGCTACCAGCCACAAATTTCAGAGCTCTGAGGATTAGTTCTGGTAATTCTGGATTTGCAGACTCAACTAGTCTAAGAACTATTTAACTAGTCAGATAAACCCTCTACATGGATTACATATTGTCAGCTCTATTAACCCTTTTAGCTGTTTAAGTGTTTCTAAGCAATAAGATCTCATTATCCAATTTACTAAGCACCTTATTTAGTTCAAGGATAAGTAGTACTTCTGATAGTGCTAGCCTGAACCTGATGAGAAACAACTGAAGATGTTAGATTTCCACATCATGGAACCCAGTGCACCTCCCCACAAAGGCAACTCCCAGACATCCCTGTGAACAAAACACATGCAGTTCAAAAAAAAAAAAAAATCAAAGAATCAGTCTCTAGTCTTCTCTTGACAGCAGACAGGTTAGCTGAGAAGTCCCCACTTTGTATTTAGTTTGGCAGTACTCTTCCCTCATCTCTTCATCCTTCCCTGTTACCAACTCTCACCAAGCTACAGGTTGGTTCATAAGCAGTCATACTTTGCAATGAAGGCCGTGCAGACTTGAATGAATAGAAGTACCTCATCAGAGTTGTTCTTAAGCTTGACAAATTTTCCGTCTTCATCAATTTCTTCAATAGTTACATTTCCAGAAGATGAAGCATGCTGAACAGTCTTAAACCCAGCACTATGTCCCCTTTTTTGGCCTTCTTTCGCTTTCCTTTTCTTCCCATGCAGGAACCGTCGCCCTTGAATTGTAGCTTGAGTTGCAGTGCTGTGTAAAGATGGACTTAGTGGCAGCTTTAGCCTAGAATGAGTCAGATAACATTCACTTGAATATCTGATGTGCTTATTGCTTCTCACTTCTATCCTCCCACTATAGCCAAGCCAAACAACTTCTTATATCCAAGCTTTCCATGAAGTCTTGAATATAAGATTTTATTTCTGCTGGCAAGAATAGCTAAGTAGCTTGTTAAGTTTGGAAGACAGCCCCAGCTCAAGAGTTCAGAACAAGCTTATGTTGACAAGAAAAGATTCCCAACTGCAGTAAGTACTCCTTCAAAGTCTCTACAGCCACAATCTTTAGCAGAAGTAGTTTAAGTTTTTGACCCTTCTTAGCATGTATTGAGTTCACGTTGTTCTTACCAGGCAGTGCCTTGATAGTTGAGAGTTGATATAATTCCCCAGTTCCATTCCTGAAACTTGAGCACTGTCTTTGATATACCTCTAAGATGTAGCACAAAGCTTTGAGAAAGTTTGATTCTAGGGATGGACATCTAATCGTCCTTTGACCTTTTTCAGGTGGGTTTATCAAGTTACTTTATCTTACTACACCATGTGGTGGATGTGGGATAGAAATACCATCTACAGAAGATTATGCTTCAAGAACTAAGTTATGGCACTAATCACATACTTAATATTTATTTCTTGCCTCCTGCACATTCTGAACAATATACAGTTAATTAGCATAGATATCTTGGATGAAGCAAGTCCTCATATGAGGATCTTGTCATACCCTACCTCTGTTCCTCTCCTTCCAGCATCTTTCTGTAGGCATTTATTTCCAGATCTAGAGCCAGTTTCACATCTAAGAGATTCCCATATTCTTCCAACTGTAATTGTGCCTGGTCCCGGGCTTGTGCCATTTCCTTCTCTTTTTCAGCCATGTGCCTTTGATAGAGATTGCGATCATAATCCAGTGTCTTCTGTAGCTCCTTTAATTTGTTCTCCAAAGCAGCATTCTGAAATTAAAGGAGAGGAAAATCAATTAAACTATGACTGAATATTAGAGAGGAAAGGCCAGTATTTTGAATGGGGTATTTAAACTAAAATAATTTTAAGAATATACAAACAAAGATAGTACCTGGCTTTCATATTGATTAACTTCAGATGTCAAAGTATCAACTCTCAGCTTTGTTTCCATCAGCTCCTCCTGAGCAACATCAGCAAGGTCACTATTTCTTGCTGCAGATAGCTGAGCATTCTGAATCTGTGGATAAGTCACTGTTATTGATGAGTTGCTTATGACTGTGTTTTTAAATAAGGAAGGAAACCCAAGTGATTTCCAGCTGTTACATCTGGAAATGTATGTTATGTTTTACTTAAGTGCACAGATACCAATAAAGTCCAGATCAGGAAGTTTCCCATTGCTTTTCAGGAAGGTTTACACAAGTTTGGCATTCATGTCAGAAAAAGTCAGTAGTAATCAGGTAGTGAAAATTGCTGGATTAGGATATTTCAGTTACAAATGCACAAAGACTTTGTATAGATGCAAAGTAAACAGATTCTCCAGAAGAACAATGGAGAATGTTTAGAAGCTGCTTGTCAAAGCATGGAGCTACAGGATATTAGGTGTGCTGATCAAACTATTGTTCTTCCCCAAAAGTTCTACTACTAACCTGTGCCTTCACTATAAGCAGCACTGAACTGTTTCTCAGTTAGATCTTGAGGTGTTCCAATAAAGGATAAAAGTAGAGCCATGCTCCTACAAGAGGCACTCACAAAATTTCCAGTGGAAACCTCGATAGAAGCATCTAAAGGAATTTACCGAGTTGGCATCAAAGTTGGAATAGAGAAAGCCAGATGAACCAGGGAGAAATGAACACATGTACTTGTTGAGAAAAGTACCAAATCATGTGATTCTGCACTGAATATTAAAGACAACTGAAAGTACCTTAAACTGTACACTGCAACCAACCCAGAAACCCCTGAGATCTTACCTACCAAAAGTATAAGCTTAAAGTATTGCTTTTTCCTGCATATGTGGCTAATGCTGGGAAAGAGGTGACAGACCAGTCCTGGAAGCTACTTCCATAGCCACCTCATCCAGTACTAGCAATTGGAAAGGGACATTTGCACTCATACATTTAAAAGTGCACTTGTAGAACTGTAAGAATAGCTTATTTCATGTATTTTAGTAAAACTATAATCAGTAGATCAAGTTTTATTCAATAACACTGAAATTGCTTAATACCAACACAGCACACCTTAGTCCTGAATTTGTCAGACAAGTTCAAATTTGTCAGAAGTGTGACTTTTGATCACTTTTATTACATTAGCCATTTCCAATTGCTCCACAAAGGGACAGTATTTGTGCTTGAACCAGTTTTATTTGAAACCAAGTGTCATAGAAGTTCTATTGTAAAATTTGACACCACTTAAATTCCATAACAACTTACACCAAGAAGCTCTGCACTGAAAGCAGGGGCTCCATCAGTCAAGCCATTTATGCTGGCGTGACTTAAGTTCTCTGTGCCTTGATATGATTAAAGTTTTGTTTTATTGATACCTTTTACAGACTCACTTTTGCACTGAATGTTCGCTCCAGCTCGTCTTTGTATCCTTGAATTTTTTCTTCATGTTCTTCTCTGAGCCTCTGCAGAGCATCTGAGAGCTCACTCTCAAATTCTCTCTGATAGCCAGATTCTATTTCTGCCATCCTGCTCTCATGGACTCTTTTTGTCTCCTTGAGCTCCTAGGAGAAGAAATTTCTCAGAGAATGAGCAAGCCAATACAGTTTGATTTGAGACTGTACTTACTGTACCAGCTTAGCAAGTCATTCAATATTGAAGCAGATTTATCATTGAGTGCAAGGTAATTCATCTCTATTCACATCTTAGATGCCCATCCAGTAGGTCAAGAACTTCCACCTTGCTAGCTGCGCACAATTGTTTTGCCTCCTCACTGCCAACATCACTTTAACTAATAAATGCAGTAGTTTGTATTTAATTTTAAGACTAATTCTTTGAAATAGATTGATTTATCTGCTTTTCTTTACTTAGAAAACACATATACACTTCTGTTTCTTTAAGAACCATTGCTTTACCTATTTCTGTTTTATTCAAAAAGTAGTATCAGTTGGTTAGAGAAACCAGAATTCTCTATCACATAAACCACACGTTTGGAGATTCCTTCTAGTCAGAAGGAAGCTGGTTTACATTCACATGTTTCAGTTCTGTGTACTCACTTCTTACGCAAAGGTTTCTAGACACCTTTGATAAGTGTTAAGGAAGTAGGGAACATAAGTTGCTTATTAAGAGAGACTTATTTTCTTTGATTATTTTAGGCTTCTAGCAAACACCTGGAATCATTTAATTTGAACTGTAATATGTGCACTTTGTTACATATAGTATATTGGGTTTGTAGTTCCCTTCAAAAGCCCAGCCTGAGAAAGTATCTTGTATTCCAGATACCTATTGGTACTGTGCCTGTTAACGTGAGGTTGTGTACTTTCTTGAAGTCTCCCTAGTTAGGTGGATTTTATTGGCTGGTGGACTGTCATAGGCTGACTCAGCTAGTTACCTTTTTAAGGATAAAGCACATCTTAACATTACTTTTACATGCATTCAGGGATCATGGACACCTAAAAAAAAAATCTTTGTTAATAAGCTAAAACATACGTCTTCATGAACACGTTTCTGGAATGTCAGTTGTTCCTGCAGAGTTTTCATATAGTTTTCCAGGTCCACCCTCTTCAGTGTTTCAGTGTGGAGATGTTTTTTGATATCTTCCAGTGACAGCTGCAGCTAGAAAAGAGAGTAGTGAATGTTAAGAGGTCATTTTTCCAAACAAAAACATTTAAGTTATTACAGGCCATTCAACATCACTCCCACAGTAATCTAGACACACTACTTAAATGAAGTTGGTTACTCTGTTTAACTTGTTATTTCAGTGGGATTCAGCATATTAGCAACAGAAAAAAATAAAAATCTATTTAATTGTTATGTAGACCAGATTTTCCACAAGCAAATACAGAGCAGACCTTAATCCCACCAGCTGTCTGACTCCTTAAAGTGGACTTCTGATAAATCAATTATACCATCCATATACATTCCTTCCCTTCACAACCCTAAGTATTCCAAACTTCTCCCTAACTTCCAATATTGTTTGTCTGATGCCTAAGAAGTGAAATTCTCCAAAATATAGCTTAACTTTGTTGACAAACTGTTAGACATTTCCAGTATTGGAGTATGCTGCTTTAATGATACAAGTTTGGGATTTATTTATTTTTTAAGTTTTCATTCTAAAGATTTGAAATTAGAGAATTCCTTGATCACATTAAAGCATGAAGATAAGAAAGCTATGTTCTTAGAGATGCATTGACAGAGTAGCAACTCGGGCAGAGTTGGTTTTAGTAGCACAAGAGCCTACAAAAAGAGTAGTCACAATTTGCTTATTCTACCTAGACTTAAGCATAGTGAAGCAAGGTCCATCAAATGCTCCATTTGCTGGCACGTTAGAGAACATTACAGGGGCTATAGCAGTATAACACATTTCAACTTACTCTGTACTTAGAAGAAACATTACATGCTGTGGTCATAGACTAAAATTAAAGGTACCTACAACAGATGGAAGTTTTAGTAGACCAACCAGGAGTAGCATTTGCTTTCAGCAAGACTGCAGAAGTCTTTTTGTCCACCTGTCATCACCATAGATAACAGTCTTTCCTTGCTTTTGAATCTCAATAACTAGTTGGGGAAAAACAAGCAAAAGCTTCAGGAACAAAAGCAAAGTTGAAATTCCAGGGAGAAGTCTTACAGTGACTACTTGATTGTTTAATTCACGAAGGTCATTCTCCAAACTTCGTTTCTCATTCAAAGCTGTTACTAAGTCAGCTCCTGTCGCATTCAGCTTAACATCAAGGTCTCTCATACGAGCCTGTGCCAGGTTTAAATCAGCTTCTTTTTTTGAATTCCTGCAAGTGAAAGTTTTGCTCTCAGAAGTTGCAGCTGGTGAGGAAGAAAGGTTTTTTTATTGTATTTACCTTCACAGGGTTCTGTGGCAGAACTGAAACAGAAAAGAAGTTAGTTAACTCTTGTGAGAGCACAGGATAGGCTCTAAGAAACAAACCAGACAGACCCCTCAGACAAGTATCATTTGTTTAACCAGAAAGACTCCTGACCCAGTTTCCAGCTTGTTTTGTGTGAATCCGATGTGGAAGCCAACTATTTTCCACAGCCAGAGAGGGAAGGGATGGCATAGGCCACAGGGAGGGTCTAGCCACACTCAAAGCCAAGGTGCATCAGACCACAGTGACCTGCACCAGACCACCACTGAACAAGCCACTCTCAGACATCTCCTTCCAGCAGCAAAGGCCCCCACCAGCTTCCTGGCAAAGTGCCTACTGACCCTTCAAACACACCGCTGCTGTGGCCCCCGGGGCAAAGTACCTCCTCCTCTGCAGGAGAGGGACACTTCCTTGTGCAAATACCCAGGTACAGAGCCCTCAGGTACTGCCTGGATGGCCACCACAGTGAAGCTGCCAGTTTAACTTGACGCTGCAGTAGATAATGCTGGGCCCACAGTGAGTTCCTGCCAGAGAATGGGGTGATAATTTCCCAGATCTCTCTAACTTCTAAAAATCTTTGCTGTTGCCCGATTGCTATCTAGAGTCCGAGTTCCTACTCAAAACTCAGATTTGGTTTGCAAAGAGTAAAGTGTTCGATTTATTTTACCAAAATCTGTCCTGCCAAGTGTGATAATTCATACAATGAGTTTTCCAGTTGATAACTGAGCAGACCAGTTGGAGTGAGTCTCAAGTCATTCTGCAGGAATGATCAGCTCTAGAAAGCTTGGACTGCAAGGAAAGATTGGAAAAGAGTAAGGGCTGTTTAGTCTAGAGAAGAGAAAAGTGACAGAAGACATAACAGTCTTCACATACATGAAAGACTGCTGCATAGAGAAAGGGAATCTGTTTCCCATGTCTGTTGTGGAAAAGACAGGAACTTGCAGTCTTAAATTGCAGAGAGGAATATTTGAATTAGACATTAGGGAAAGGAAACTAAACTCCCTAGTTTAGTATTAGTAGTTCAACACTGAAGCACATTGCCTGGGGGAATATTCTGTAATCTCCATCATCTGGAACTTAAAAAAAAAAAAAGAGTTATGCAAACATATGCTGGAAAGGATGCAGGTATGGTTGGTTCCAACACAGGCCAGGGGCATGTGGCTATATCAGGTTCTTGCTCAAGGCCTTTTCTAGCCCTGCTATTCAAATATTTGTTGATTGTGTCTCATACTTCATGACACAAACCCAAATGTTTTGCTAGCAGAAGTTATTCTTTACTCTGACTCTAGGAAAAAAATAATTATACTGAAGTTACAATGAAAAACAACATAATGTGTTGTAGTTTTTTTAGTACTTACAGGTTTATTTCTTTTCTAGGTATTAATTAGCCCCCTTCCTTTTGGGATCTCTGCTACCACTACCACTTATTGTGAGTATTAGTTATGATATTAACAAGTACATTAATAACACTACTTAATGATAATATTGACTGTTTCATCCTACAATAATATAAATTTCATTCTGCAATCAGAGTGCATACAACACTGAATTTACATCAGCATCTGTTTTAACTCTGCAGTTTGATCGTCCACTTTACTCATGCAGGCCTCTGACAGGTTCAGGTTTCGTATATTCTTTCCTGACAACTTATTTTCAGAGAACTCTGAAGTGAATGATTTCATCTTTAAGAACAGCGATTAAATAAGTCTGACTTTGACAAGAGCATTTACGACTCTTAAAGTTTGGGATTCAGAACACCCCCTTGCATTATTGTGCAGCAAACAGTGACAGTTACAGCACTCTACAACATTCCATATACTAACCTTTCCAGAAGTAAGCCTGGCTTATTGACTATCAGTTGCAAGGAATAACTGAGGCACTGCCAATCACATTCCTGGTAAAGCAGGGTGCCACATATGCTTCACCTGGAGAATAATTTTAACACAAGAGCCCAGGTGTTTGAAACAGATTCCAGTTGGTCAAGACTAGAGGACATTAACAGCACTTGTGGAATTTGTTTTTACAGCTTCAGCTTGCTACACTGCGTATTTCAGATTCAGTAGCAAAATACACATCTGCATTCACTAGTGCAGAAAGAAACTGGTCTTGTCTTTCTCTGCTGTGCTACTGTAATTGCTTTGACCTTCCTCAAGCTCTGAATTCAACCAACTGATATGCTTCTCCACAACTCCTTTTGTCCCCAAACCTCTTTGGCCTACCTGCAGTTACCACTGTTCAAGTAGTAAGAAAAAAGCTGAAATACAAGCACACTTCATTGCTGCTGCAGCTTTAAGTCTCTTTACCAGTGATTAATAGGAGCCAATGGTTAATGCTGTTGGGAAATTATCTGGTGACATTCCATCCTATAAGTGTTCCAGGTTATTTAAAGGGTGTATATATAAAGGGCACGATACCCTCAAAGAAGTTTGTTCCAAGTCATCTGAGACATTTGCGGTTAGGCACCCCAGATACAAAGTGCTCAGTATTAGGACTTCAGTCTAGCCCTTTCAGACAGCAGCCTATACTATATATCATTTCCCATGGGCTGTAAAGTTAACCACTTCTAAGACCTAGTTACTGTAAAGGAAAAACAACAAACAACTCAGTCTAGAGTACTGCATACCTGCCAAGCCTAAGGCTTTATAAAAAAAGCCACAAAGTATAAACAAAGCCGCAAAGTTATACAAACAAAGAGCAGCAGAAAAGTTTTAGAACTAGCATTAGCTTTCTCCTCACTGTCCACTCAAGTGACTGGTTAGATTTATGAAGCACATCTATGAGCCAAAACCCAGCATGAATGAGACAAGCCCAAGAACTTCTAAGCAGCCAAAACCAGAAGCTTAGAGTAAAAACATGTTTTATTGTCAAGTAGAACAGCTACTTAAGTGCTACTGAGCCTATGAAGTGGCACTATTTGCTCCATACAAGTGTTACAAGAAAAAGCTGGTGCCTGAAGTTGCTATGATACAAGTTTATAACAAGATTTATGTGTCCTACGTACACCCAAATTGTTGCAACTCTGTAATTAATTTAGCAGTACAACAGGGCATTAAAGTAACTAGCAATGCTAGTACTGTATATATCCGTAAAGGAAGCTTGTTGGGATTAGACACTTGTTCCTTCCCCTTCACTACCCTCCTCTATCAAGAGAATTTGGTTGCACTTACATTGGGCCACCCCTTTGTTCCAGGCTTGGTGAGACTAGACAAGATGATTCCAGGCTCAAGATAAATAGCTTGCAAGAAAGTCAAGCCTGAAACAGCAGACAGTTCATCCCAGTAGCACGTAAATCAAGACCTAAAAGTCACTAGGACAGTTTCTGTGCAATACCAGCCTGGACCAGGTAAGCTATACTGCTTACAGCACTACCTTCTCTGTGTATTCCTCTCTAGGCAGTAGCCGAGCTAAAAAGTCCAAAAAAGATGTGAGATGACTCCATACAGAGACTCCTTCCCCTACCTCCTTAACTTTCTAGATGCTTTCCAGCATCTTCTTGAGTGTTTATAAACACAGGTGTGGTGCCAACCCCAGTCAGCTATACATTCATGCAGTACTATCCCCATAAGGTCCCTCAACACCCCAAATTCAGGGAAAGATTCTGGGAAAGCCCCATGACCATTGCAGGGAGGTGCTGGAGTGGCCCAGCAGCGCTGGAACAGGAGGTACTCACGCTAGTGTCCCTACAGCGCATCTTTGGAACAGGCATTAGGATTTCTCCTAATCCAGGACACTCACAGGCCCATACCTTTGAGGTGGCACCACTGCCGTGACCTGGGCACCCTCCAGCACTGAGGGCTCCCTCCCCAACACGCAGCTTCTGGCAGGCAACACCCCCTTCCCCTCACCCTGCAAGAGCCCCGGAGGGGCGGCGGCCCCGGGGTGGTTCCCAGCAGGAGGGCCTGCTCGGGGCCGGGGCACCGACCTGCTGCGCAGCTGCTGGTGCTCCTCACCGATCTTGCTCAGCTCCGCCTGCAGCGTGGCCCGCTCCGTGGCGATGTCGTCCAGCGCCCGGCGAGCGTCGGCCAGCTCCGCCTCGTAGTGGCGCCGCAGGGCGCCCAGCTCCCTGTCGCTGCTCGCCTCCTATGCAGCACCGAATTGTCGGTCTTCAGTGTCTGCACCTGGTCGATGTAGACCACCAGGCGGTCGTTAAGCTCCTGCAGGTCCTCCTTCTCCTGAAACCGGCTCTGCCACAGCGGGCTCAGCGGCGGGCTGCCCGGGGGGGGCCCGCC